AAGCAGCCCTGTGGATAGGCCATCTGGAAAGGAAACAAGATGCACTAGCCGCCTGGGAAGCAGATCTTCCTGCTTCAACTAAGACGGGATCCTCCTGATCGCAGGCCTCCAGTCGTTAAGTCTTTCAGCAGAGAGTCAAGAGATAACAGGAAGAAACAAACCATCCCTACTGTGTGCTGTTTGAATATTTGACCCACAGAAACCATGAAATAATAATTATTGTTTCAAACCACTAAATATGGGGGTGATTTGTTATTGTGGCAATAGATAATTAATGCAGAGGATCTGGAATGGCAGTAGAGGCATTAGGAGAGTTTGGTGAGATAACTTAAATTTACAAAAAACCTCCTACTTGTTCTATTGTTAGTTACTGAGGGACATCCAGTGACTCCCTGTATTTCTCTTTTATTTTACTTTAAAAAATCGAGATGTCATTATATACAATAACATGCACAGATCGTAAGTGTTGTTCAGTGACTTTTGACAACTAACACCCATGTGGTCACCCCCTAAGATATAGAAGACTTACTTCCATCACCCAGAAAGTCACCTCTTACTCTTTTTGAGACAATTCTCTCTTCCCAACTCCACAATCACTTTTTAAATTACGGTAGATTCATTTTGCCTTCTAAAATTTTTATATAAATGGAATTATGCAGTATGTATTATTTTGTGTCTGGTTTCTTTCACTCAGCACACTGTTAATGAGATTTATCCAAGTCATTGCCTGCATCAATAGTTCACCCCTTTTCTTATTAGCAAGTGGTATTCCACTGTATGGATATGCCACAATTTGTTTATCCATTCTTCTCCTGTATTTCTCAATTAAAATACAGTTAGTTATTTCTACAGTATCATATACAGTGGAAAAATCAAAATTACATGTAGAAAAATTTGGTATTATAAATAGCACCTTAAAAATAGGTGAAATACATGATTACATGATTGAGATTTATCATTTCTATAGTTCTCCAGAGAATGAAAAAGTTAAGCCAGGTGTGGTGGCATGTGTCTATAGTCCTAGCTGCTCAGGAAGCTGAGCTGGGAGTATTGTTTGAGCACAGGTTTGAGTCCAGCCTGGGCAACATAGTGAGACCCCATCTCCAGGGGAAAAAAGAGAGAGAGAGAATGAGAAAGTCATAAGCCCTTTGTTGACCATAAAGATTGCATTGTCCAAATGATATTTAACTTGAAAATACAAACTGCCAAGCAAAAATTATAAATGGGTCAATTCTGCTGAGAAAAAATTGAGCCCAAAGACACATTTAGAATTAATGACATAGAAATAAAGAAAATAAAAAAAATAGGAGTTGCTTTAATTTGTTCTACACACACACTCACACACAAATACACACACAGAGGTCAGCAATATCCCTAGAGTCATTTTAGGTATGGAGGCCAGCAAGGCATATGGGGGCAGCAGTCCTGCATATCACAAATGAATTCCTAATTGTTTTCGGCATAGTATTTGATACTTCTTTAAATCGAATCTAATTGAACACTTTAGATATATTTAGTTACATATGAAAAAGGCTTGATATAAAACTTGGAGATGTAATAATTTTTTTCTTAAATCCCTTTTTGTTCTTGGGGAATGTAAGATCATGTGTTTGAGAATATGTTGGTTTAAAAATTATTTCTACTTGGGTTTCCTAAGGACATTTTGTTAATCACACTAGTTTTAAAGAGTTATCATCTTCCCTGTTCTGAACCTCTGATGCATAAATACTTGAAAATAATGTTAAGTTTGAGATGGACTGCAAAGATAGAGATACTGGCTTGATTTTGTTTTCTCCCCCAAGAGGATCAAAATAATCTAAACCATATATTAACTACTCTTCTGCAATTTCTAATTTACAATCTTTGTCAGTTTTGAATTATGGAAGCAGCCAAGAGTATCCGAAAACACTTTGTTCCTACTGTGCCTTTTTTCCCGGTAATATAAATATCTGAAGAGGTTATTGCTTAACCTATAAAATGGTGACATCATAATTTATGAATACTGAAAAACCTGGTTCATTTCTGTTAAACTCTGTGATGAGCTAGACGTGATGATTTTTTCTCAGTGGAAGGTACGTGTAAAAGGAAGTTTTATTTGTTGTATCCGTAATGAGAGTCTGATCTATTTTAGCCTTGATTACTCTCTATCACTATTTGACAGTAACTTTTCTTTGTTTTTACTTTCCGATATCAATTAAGTGAAAATGACATCCTCATCACTATCAACTCATGGTGTTACCAAAGACCAGGCCTCCTTAAACACAGACTCAACCATGCCGTTGGGAAACTGAGCAGGTGTGAGTTTCCCTAGACCACCAAAGGCTGAAAATTGTAGTCTGCAGTTGTAATCAGACTAGAAGAATTTCAATACATCTGGGATGTTGTTCATTTACATTGCTTTCATTTGTAATGTGTCTCAGTGATGCAATTAAAAGTAAGCTTTTTAAAAAAGAATATATGTACAACTGTTTTATAACTGTAAGCCACTAGTTGTGAAACTCAGAAGACAAATGTACAGCAATATCCTATTATCTTGTTTGACTATTTAAACTTACATATAATTTAAGGTTTTGAGGAAAAGGCTAAAAATGTTTCACTTCGAATTACATGGCAGTTTGGCAGTATGGTCAGCAAATAGAGCTTGTATCTAGTTATAAACTACTACTAATGGAATAATGGTCTCCTTTGGCCATTAAATATATGTTATGGTGATGAATCAAGATATTTTTGTATAGTACTCATCTTTAGGTCTAAGTTTGTAATTAACTCTGTTATAGAAACTATGCTACCCATGACAATTAAATTGTTTAAAATCACAATTTAAACAGTCTAGCCACTTGTTTGCCTATAGGCAATATACATACAGGAAATAATTAATAAAACAGTTAATCCTCTAGACCATTGGCTTTGGAGTTCACATCTGGTTCCACTTACCCCCATTCATAAGTAGGTTAGTGACTTTAATCCAATTACTTAATAATTCTGATACTCAAATTTTTTCATCTTTAAAAGTGGAAACTATAATTATAAGGTGGTTATAAGGGGTGACAGTAAAATATGTAAAGCACCAGTCATGTGTTTGTTACAGAATACTCAGCAATAGGTAGCTAATAACAACACATACTTGATTCCAGATAGTCAGTTGACTTTCTATAAATATTTACTGTATTTACATGGGAAAACCAAGCATTTTCTTGTTTTGTCATTTGGGTTCTTCTCAGTCAGGCCCAAGTCAGGTGGGTATCTTGGTATAATGCCAGGTTTTATTTGTCTGTTCACAATAGAAACCCCTTGTGGTGTGATGGCCCCAAAGCTGACCATAACCTTGCCTCAGCCACTCTGTTTCTCTGGTGAGAGTGAGTGCTGTTTCTACTGCCTCTGCATGGGACTGGGATGTGTGGTTTAGATTCTGTTTTCTAAGCAAATGCATTTGTTCCATGAACCATTATTTTTCTCACTGGTCCAGAAGGAAGGCATAAGGAGAACACTGAAGATCATAAAATAAGTAAGGGTGAAGTACGTACTTTTTGTCTTCAAAGTTACTTTTGTGGGGACTTGGCAGTTTACAAAAAGAGGTGATGATGATTAGTTTCTAATTCTAAAGCAAACAGCAGGGAGTTGGACTTTCTTTAAATTTGCTGATAGCGAACAACCTAGGAGTAGCCTTTATCCTAACATCTTGGCAACGTCACTTATTTTTGAATCTAGCTTTCTGAATGTTACAATGACCATACCAAAGGAGATATAAATACCCCCAAAGTGATGGGACCATTTTTTAGTGGTTTCACTGAAATTTGCTCTAAGTGCTACTGAGTAGAGGTATGCGGGAATAAGAATAATCAGTTTTATTGATTTCTTCTGTGACTTTGGGCCAGGACCAAGTCTATTTTGAACATCTTTATATCTTAGCACATTGTAGGTGCTTTAAAAATAACTCTTAAATATTGACTGAGTAAAAGTGTCTGTCTCTAAGATGGACAATCCAATCCCCCTAAGCACTGTTGTGGAGATGAGTGAAGACTAACTAGGAGTCTTGCTTTGTCTCCCAGGCTGGAGTGCAGTGCCCTGATCGCGGCTCACTACAACCTCTGCCTCCCAGGTTCAAGTGATTCTCCTGCCTCAGCCTCCCAAGTAGCTGGGACTGCAGGCGCATGCCACCATGCCTGGCTAATTTTTGTATTTTTAGTGGAGATGGGGTTTCACCATGTTGGCCAGGCTGCTCTTGAACTCTTGATCTTGTGATCCACCCACCTTGGCCTCCCAAAGTGCTGGGATTACAGGCATGAGCCATCGCGCCCGGCCAACAGAGCTTTTAAAAACAAATACACGTGAGAGGCCAGGTGCATGGTGGCTCTTGTCTGTAATCCCAGCACTTTGGGAAGCTGAAGCAGCAGAATCCCTTGAAACCAGGAGTTCAAGACCAGCTTGGACAACATAATGAGATGCCATCTCTATGAAAAAATAAAAAAAATTAGCCAGGTGTGTTGGCGATTGCCTGTAGTCCCAGGCACTTGGGAGACTGAGGAGAGAGAAGCTATTGAGTCGAGGAGTCCGAGGCTGCAGTGAGCTAGGATGGTGACACTGCACTCCAGCCTGGGCAACACAGTGAGCCCCTGTTTGGAAAATAATAATAATTAATAATATATGTGAAAGAGAGTTTCCAATTAGAGAGTTCTAACATCTTTAGAAAGATTCAAAAACACCTAAATGCGAAAAATGTCTGTATTCGTTTGTCAGCTGGATTACAGAGAGCAGAAAGAAAAGAGAGCCTGCGCCTCTGTAGGAAAGTAACAACGACTTAACTTCTGGAAATGACTTCGCAGCTTAGAGCCCAGCAATGCCTATTTTGGATTAAACTGTGTATTAATTAAGCTCAAACGATTTCAACATTCATCACGTTGCACTGCACCTCACAGAAAGCAAAACCAAAACAATCCTGGAGTTTTGAGTGAGGAAAACAGACACCCCGCACTCCCAACACGCGCGCACTCGCAGCCTGTCTAAAGTGCACAGGCTCAGGCGGCCAAGGGACCCGCGCCGGTTCCCGCGGGCGACCTGCAAACCCTGCCTGGGGCCCAGCAGGCGCTGCGTCCCGGCGCGTTGGCAGTTGGCGACCCCCCTCGAATCCCCCTCTGCTGCGGGCTCCCCGTGGCCTTTGGAGGCTCGGTGAGTCGGCTCCAAATGTTTTCCATATTTGTTCAGCCTCCATAATTCGAATACCAGGGCAGGCCGAGCCAGCCGTGCGCCGCGCTCCAGGGCCCAGGGCGCCGCACACGCACCCACCCACCCAGCCTCGCAGCGCCATGGGCAAGAACAAGCAGCCCCGCGGCCAGCAGAGGCAGGGGGGGCCGCCGGCCGCGGACGCCGCTGGGCCCGACGACATGGAGCCGAAGAAGGGCACGGGGGCGCCCAAGGAGTGCGGGGAGGAGGAGCCCCGGACCTGCTGCGGCTGCCGGTTCCCGCTGCTGCTCGCCCTGCTGCAGCTGGCCCTGGGCATCGCCGTGACCGTGGTGGGCTTCCTCATGGCGAGCATCAGCTCCTCCCTGCTAGTCAGGGACACTCCATTTTGGGCTGGGATCATTGTAAGCATCGAGTCTGTTTTGCCTAAGCGCGTTTGCCAAACAGGAATGCGAAGTCGCATGGTCGAGTTGAGACTAACCCAGCTGCATGTGCCCTTCCCCGGGTTCACTCCTCTAACTCGCGCTCTGCTTGGTGACTGATGCGTGGGGCACTGGGTTTTCCCGGGCGGGGCACGGCTGGACGCGATAAACTCCTGCCCCTCTCCTGCTCGCCGCTCCCAGAGCCTGCACGGGGCCTGACTCTGACGCTCTGGAGCGGGGGAGTTCATTTCAAAAGCTGCTTATTTTGGTCAGACTGAACAACCTCAATAACAACAGCAGATTCATTCGGGCTTTTTCCTTATCCTATTACCAGACCCCACCCCTGTCCTTAAGCAAGTGGCAAAAAGTGAATTAAGTTCATCTAGTAAAAGCAGGAGAGGAGAAAGCCTGTACTTGGAGTTGCCACATTGAGTAGCATTCATTTTATGTTTTAAACTGAAGCTCCATTAGTAAGTTTCATGAAATGATGGGCTAAGGCAGGAAATGCGAATACAGCAAGCACAGCCTGAATCCACTGGAGTCTAAAGTGGGATAAACTCAGGGCGCTGGCCATGGCAGAAGTATATTTGGGACTCCCCTGATGGATGTACTGTTCTAAGTAGAACAGTACTCAGCTGTTGTGAGTGTTGAAACGTATAGCATACTTGGCTTGGTTAAATGAATTCTTTAATGTAAAACGGGTGCCACTTATTGAATACCTACTGTGTGCACGCCCTGCTAGAGGCCTTACATGTATTATTTCTAATCCCCACATCATCCTGATGGGATCGTTTTAATCATTCTCATTTCTCAAATGAGAGAACCCACGCCAGACTCACCCAGGGTCATGAGTGAGTAAAGCATTCAGCCATGCTGATTGCTTTTTATGCTAGACTATATCTGCATTTTCCTCATGGAACCACGCTGCCACCACATTTTGTTTGTAACTTTAATATTATGTTATATTACAGTGTCTTGTAGCTTATTAAACTCTTTCACATGCGTTATTTCATTTGACCCATGAAACAACACTTTGAAGTGGGAATTGTTATTCCTTTCGGATGTGAGGAAATAGGCTAAGAGAAGTTAGATGACATTCTCAAGCCCAGAGATTGAATGTGGTCGAATCAGGAAAGACTAGAAATGACATTTTTGACTCCTAGTCTCATATTGCATCCTTACTGCTATTACTGACCACAGGAACTATAACTCACAAAACATCCCTCAAAATAATTTTGTATCACGGACAGACATTAGAGAGACTTGATATATATGCATTGATGGAGGTATTTCCTAATTAAGATTATTTGAATACACAAATTTTTGCATAGTAATTTAAAACTTTAATTTTTGTGCTAAGAATTCCCATGAAATTATCATGATTGGAGTTGTCTAAATCAAGTGATTTTAAAAATAGCTTTTCAGTAAGATATACTGGGTATTTCAGACACCTCAATGACTATCCACATACCCCGGGGGAAAAAATGTCTGGCCTTTAATGCCAGGGGAATTAAAACAAAGAATGAAGCTCTTTCATTCAATGTTTTTAAATATCATTTGCAAATGTGTTCCCCATCCTTTCTTTATTGCAACTTCAAAAAGCTTAGCACCAAAGAGGTAAATTAGATAGAGAAAAAACCTATTTTAAGGTTTAAGGCATGAACATACGAACCGTGCAACCCAGAAATGTTATGAACTAAATCTCCTGGGGGAAATGATGTTCCTAATTGCCCTGGAAGCTCCCTGGGTGTTGCACAAAGGGCGTTATATACAGCCAGGTCTCTACTCTTTCTGGTTTTCTTTTTTATCATCTAGGATTCATTTGAAGTTTGCTCTCAGTACATAGCCCTCATGAAATCTGTCATCTTAGATTTTCTTTCAGCTGAGAAGCTATGTAGAGCAGAGCAGCTAGTAGAGATGTCCCGAGACTAGTGAGGAGGGTCTCTGAGAAGCCAGGCCAGGAGCAACTGTCATCCTAGCAGGGCCAGAATTTGGGCAATGTGTCACTGTCTCACACAGACACCACGGTCTGCTTGTCCCCACCACGCTGTCTGTGGTTGGTCACGGGGCACTCTTCCAAGCTTTCAGGGAAGGGAAAAGAAGCGAGGCAGATGGCGAAGTGCAGATGTGTACGCACCACACCTGGTGTTGAGCCCTAGCTCAGCCACTGTGTGCCGAATAACTTTGGGTTTTGGGGGTTTTTTTTGGAGACAGAGACTTGTTCTGTCACCCAGGCTGGAGTGCTGTGGCATGATTTTGGCTCACTGCAACCTCCCCCTCCCAGGTTCAAGAGATTCTTGTGCTTCAGCCTCCTAAGTGGCTGGAATTACGGGCGTGCGCCGCCACACCTAACTTGTGTGCCGAATAATTTTGGACAAGTTACTTGACTTCTCTAGGTTTCCATTTCTTTACTAACCAAATCAGAATGATAATAATTCCTACCTTTTCGGGTTGCTTTGAGGATGAAATAAATTAATACATGTAAAGCACTTAAAATAGTGCCAACAAATGGCATGGTTCAATGAGTTAGCTTTACTTATCAGCTGCTTGGGAAGCAGTCACTGGTGGTGTCACTCTTCAAAGGAAAGGTGGCTTTATTTCATCTCTAGACTTGCAAAACTATCATTTTTGACTTGCTACATTTCCAAGACTAGTTTGAACCCTGAAGAAAATATCAGTTTGGCTGTCTCACCTTTCTCTGTTCTCAGCCAAGTCACTATTTAGCAATCGCAGTGGTATTTGATTGGTCCAGTACTTTCTGAATCTTTCTGGAGGTTTATAAAAAGGAACTTGGAGGAGAGTGGCCTCCTCAAGGTCATTTTTCCTTTGGGATATGCAGTGATTCAGGGCTGGTATATCCTGCTGGGTTATATCAGTTTTCCCTGTTCAGGAGCCCCACCAAACCAAAGCAATCCAAGCCCATCGCTGGGGCTGCTGAGTCACACTAGCCCTGGGATGTAGGCCGAAGTCAAGCTGAGGGAGGCACCCATGCCATCTACAACTTTCCATGTTCCACTCTTTTGTTTCCCTTTTTTCTGGTTGCCTCTTCTCATGTGGTTATCACTTAATTTTACAGGGGCCACTATCCCATTAACTTGGAATTTGGGGATTGCCATTTTCTTAACAGAACCTGGATATATGGGTAAATCCACTTAGGTGACTTTTCTTTGACCAATGCCTGACTGACTTGATGTATATTCAAGGTGTGATTACAGACTAAAGAGGCCCTTGGTGATCTATGCTCAGAAATTTATGTCCAGTGGAATTTTAGGAAAACAAATAGGTCATTTTTTATCTATCCATAAATGTGACTCCAATCCCCAGTCAAAAGATGACTGAAGTCTTTTTACTTTGATTACAAAAGATTACTGTAAGGGGTGGGGGGAAACCCCAGAATGGAGTCACTATGGAGACTATGTAACTTGTAAAAGTGCTGTTCATGTCTTATAATTCTTTATAGATGGTTTGAGGGATGTAAGTCATACCGCAATGACAAAACAAAGTGAAATAGCAACTTTTGAGGATTCACTTGGCTGGGTACAGGGGATCCTAGGACAGAGAAGTTTGTTCTGCATTTTATTCTGTTAATGGCTTTAGTAGCTAAGTCAGATGGGAATTCAAATTTGCTCATTTTTCTGGAATTCCTATTGATGAAAAGTGTGTAAAGATTGAAGTAATCTAAGGACTTTGAGGATTTTACTTCTCACTCAAATGAATACCGTTTTAGTTTAGGTAAAGCATTGCATGCTTAACCTTTTGTTTTCCCTTCTTCATTCAGTAACATCTGTGGAGGGTGTCTGCTGTGCTACGCAATGGCCTAAAAATAATGAATCAGCTACCTGGAGGAGATCTCCAGATCCTGATGGACACATGCCCTTATTGTATCTGACAGTAATGAATACTTCCGATTAGAAAATTTAACCTACACAAATATTGTTAAGACCCATTTACCTTTCAAAGTATTCCACTTGCAGTGATTTATTTGCTTTGGCATCTCTACTCCAAAGTCAATTTAAGTGCAAACTCTTGCGTCTCATCCCCAGTGAAAATACTTAGTATTCAATATTCTCTTGGCCCTTGTAGGGAATATTCCCATGGAAAGTAGGAATTTCTTTGCCTTATTGTGCTTTTTAACTTCCCCCACTCTCCCTCCATTGCTCCCATACCCCACTCAGTGGAATAAAAACTCTGAGATAAATACTGTATTAATCAGATTGGAAAGTTTAAGGCAAGGGCTTAAAAGAAAGGGAAGAATATTTCTTTTATTTAATGCCATTCGTAAAACATCACATGAATCTGTAATGATTAAAAGTCCTGTCAAAAATTTCAGTAACAGCTTTCATATGTTAACTTATCCTAAGAAATTCAAGTTGCAGGTTTATTCAGGTTTTAAAAACTGATTTTAAGTCTTGCCTTAATGGAAGGGGAAATTGGGTGGTTATTTATTTTAAAGCAGAATATACCACGAAACTCACAAGTAGACATATGACATATAGCAAATAACAAACAAATATGATTGTTATCCAGATTTTATAAGTAGAGAAAGTAAGTTAATAATTTAGCTAAATGGTTTGATCATAGTTACAAAAAGTAACTAGAAGAGAGAAAGGTTTGGCATTAGGGTATGGGATAAACCCTCAAGTCAAGAAGCTAAATGTGGTGTTAACTTTCTATAGAGATGTATTGACATGTGAAAATTTTAATCTGGAATTACATTTTTAGGCGTACACTGCATAGTAACAGATTATTCTTCATTTTGGGACTTTATTATGCTTCCAAAATATAGTGTAGCATCCCTGGTATCCCTGGGAAATAATTTTTATTATGGCAACTGCCACAGGATTGTTAGGAACTGAGGAGAGATAATTACATGGCCCATCTCAATCTCCACTGAATACATAGAACAATAATGACAGGAAAATTATCTTATAGGCATAGGAAGTTCTCATAGTAAGTATAAAAATGGAATGCAATTGAATTAT